TTTGGGTCTCACAGATGTTTCCATTGCATAGTGTCTGACCCAATTCAGAGAGCCCTGTTGGCCCTGGAGGGCTCCATCAAGGTGACCCAGACCCTCACCCTTCCAACCCTCACTCTAATGTTACCATTAAAAGCAGAACATCTTGTCAGGGCTTTCAATTACACAGCACACACAAAAACATACCTGTGCCTGCTGGTCCTTTCTGCAGATTGAGTCATGCAGGTTCACAGCCCAGCAGATCCTCACTGCACATGTTTAAACATACAGAGAAGCTGTAAGGGTAGGCTAGCTGGGAGCGCACAACAAACCATCACCATGGGGCTGTCAAAGGTCTAGGGATGGCTACAGTCCTTCTCTCTTTAGGTATGATGGTCTGATTTCTTCTCTAGGACTCTTTCAATCCTGTACAGTGTGAGAACACAGATGCTGGAGAGAGCTAAAAGGGCACCCAGCCTTGCGAGGTGTGCGGAAGAAAGTGCTTTAGTTTGCTTTGGGGTTTTGTTTTGCTGTAAACTCAAATGCTATTCAGTGAATTTTCTCAGCCTTTTGAAACTTTTACGTACAAATGCTCCAATGAGTTTAGCTCTCTGAATTCAGCCTTTCAAAAGCCCTGAATGCTTATGAGTTTGCTTAGAGAGATGCAGTGGGAGAACCAAATTTCCATACAGCTCACAGTGTATCCGAGGGAATATGAAAAACCCAGGAAAACAGATTCAGATGCATCCCTCGATTTGACTGTGCTCTCTATTTTTCTCTCAGTAGGACTGTATCTTCTTCAGCTGTCAGCTTCAATATCCCTATAGATGCGTGTCTGCTTCTTAAATGATGAGTGAGCCAGCCATCATCTGGCTTGTTTCAAAATTACATTAACTAACTACATGTGGTTTAGTGATTTACATTGGGGATTACTGTAAATTTGAGGAATCTGTGAAAATTAAGAAAATGTTAGAAGATCAGATAACTTTCTGTAATGAATACGCAAGGACAACTTCTGAATTACAAGTCCTGTTATACAGGGAGGAGGGGATATAGCATTTAGCATTTCACTTTCTGGCTTTGTCCATGTCTTTGGTCTATAAGACCAGAGGAAGGGCTTAGTGAGAGGTGGAGTTCGGATTTTGGTATTCAGCCATATGGAGGACCTCATAAATGCAGAGCTTTGGTATGCAAGAAGTCTGCCTATTCAAGTGGTCTATTATGGTTCTGGTTTGCAATTAGCCTGAACATCTGGCCAAATAAAATGGTAATTAAATGTACAAGGCTGGCAGGTCAAATCCAGTTCTATATGCCCTCTTCCAGCAACAGAGAACAGCTAGGAGCGTATAAGAAAGTATTACAGGATATGAGAAGACGCTTACCCTGGAAGTTTTCATTTTACCCATGAGGGCTTAAAAATAAGTTTTGGGGAATACAGAGAACACTTACAGTGTGTGGATGGATTTGATAAGCTGGCTGGGAGGAGTGGAGGGTGTTAAACAGAAGCAATTCTGCTGCATTGCCCTGTATGCATAGATGACCTTTTAATGAGATTCCTGTACAGCGATTTTATTTCACTGTGTGGATTCAGCTACCTTTTTAAATTTTATTTTTTTTTTAAATGTCAATAAATTCCAAAAGGCTTTGTTGCGCTCTCACATGACCCAGCTACAAGAAGGTAAACTGACGATTTTTGTACTCTCAAAACAGCACTTTAGCCACATGTATTTTATTAATTAGGCAATACCTGACCTCATTCTCATTCCCTGTTTAGTTCTTTGAGTCACACCTTGCTATTCCACAGAAACAGCTGCATTCCTGCTCATGAACTGACAAGCTATGTGACTGCGGAAGGGAGCCCTTCCCATAGACAGCGGAAAATGAAGACCATAGATTCTGACTGCATCTATGAACTTCAGTATTGACAGGATCTCTCCCTTGTTAACCCAAGCCATGCTTGAAAGGCACCTTAGAAAATGAGTATTCATGCCAGATACAAGCACTTCCCACATTTACCAGAGCAGAGGCCAGCACACTCCTAGAAACACGTGTATTTGAAGTGACCATAGGCTGGAAATCCAGATACTGGAATTGACATGCTATGAGGGCTATGCAGACACAAACTGTCATGAGAATGAAAACATGGATGTTTTTCTATGTGCTGATAAGAGCACAGTTCCTCTCAGTGGTGAGTGGATGACAAACTTCAGAGGACAGTGTTTAGGTCAGTGTTACAGAAGAGATGTGGGGCAGTCATGAGGCGTGAGGCAAGATCATGATGGGACAGGACGGACAGCCAAGAGAGTTCAGGGGAGATTGTGAGGGGAGAGCAGGGGCAGCAGTGAAGGGAGAGCACAGGCAGCGATGACAGAAGATCATGAGGGGAGAGAAGGGGCAGCCATGAGGGGAGATTATGGGGGGGAGAGGTGGTGCAGTCGTGTCATGAGGGGACAGGAAAGGCAGCCATGAGGGATGAGGGTAGATCATGATGGACAGGACGGACAGCCAAGAGAGTTCAGGGGAGATTGTGAGGTGAGAGCAGGGGCAGCCATGGGCTGTGAGGGGTGGCCATGAGGGGTAGGGGCATCATCTGTATTGTGTGGGGCCACTATGAAGGGGGAGATGAGGTGCATCTGTGGCTGGAGATCATCAGGCAGTCATGAGGGGAGATCAGTTTGCCCTTAATGACATGGTTTAGTGGTGGGCTTGACAGTCCTATCGTAATGGTTGTGCTTTTTCACAAGCTGGTTGATTCAACGATTCTACAGTGCACCCTTGCTGACACTTGGAGCACACCCTTAATTTCCCCCAAAAATGAAGGTGGCTGCAGCAGCCCAAGGCTGCCCCATGTGCAAGCAGCAAGCACAGGCAGCAGGGGCAATGGGGAGATGCACCTCAACAGCACACTAATGATGCAAGAGATGGGCAACCCTGGCATCTCTTGGAGAAGACAATGCTTTGCCTGAGCTGTTAAACAGTGAGGTAAGAAGAAGGTCTGTGCAGGGTGAAATTAAATGTGGTCCTGGTTACACATGAGCAGAATCAATTATCACCCCATTTTAAGCTGTGGAGGAATGCCTCATGTGCATCCACCAGAGACTGGGCACAGCAAGTAAGGAAACTCCTCACACCTACTTCTAAGTTAAAAAGCACTGTTGGTTTGCTCTACAGTGTCCCATATCACTTTCTCAGTGCATCAGAATTAGGTCAATTGTCTTTCTTAAGCTCTTAAGTGAGTCTTGATTTTTCCTGATGACATCCCAATGGACTACTAATACACAAACACACCACACACATCCCAAGGACAACTTAGAAGGAACAAGAACAAGAAAAGCAGGGGAGCAAAGCAGCGACCTTTCAAGAGGCTCTCCCAGCCACAGGAGTGCTCCAGTACCAGCAGCCACCAGGCATTGCTCAGGGACTGCTCCTAGCCCTGGGGCTGGGGCTGAGGCACCGTGTCTGTCCCTGTCCCATGTGTGCCCCGGAGGGGCCAAAGGAAGCTGGGATTAGTGGCTGAGCCCTCACAGGGCCTCTTGCCTGTCACCTCCCAAGTGCTTTTGTGCCACATGATTGTTCCTGTAAAGCCAGAGCCTGTTCATTTGGGTTCAGGGTTTTGTAGCTTGGCCCACACCCTAGCATCTGAAAAGGTTTACCAACAATTCCATCTCTGCCTTTTTCCTGCTCTTTCAAAAGCAGTTGTGATGAGTATTGCACTGAAAATGTGGTCTCTGTTTCAAAAGGATGGATACAATCAGCTCCCAAGGCCCTGTGCTTTCTCTCCATACTTAGCTAGGAAACAAATGACTGTGAAAAGAAAGATCTGGTGATCTGCCAGTATTTCTGACAGCTACAACAGCAATATAAAGCCATAAACCCACAAAGGTTTCTACTGCATTGTAATGATCTGCCTAAATAATTATCCGATCATTTTTTGTTGTGTCAAAAGATCAGTTTAAAAGGCAATTTATATAAAACAGCAAATCAATATATTTTCTGTATAGTTTCTGATGATCCTGCATCTCAAACCATCCTGGGAGTCCCCTCAGTAACACAGCAGCTTAAACTTCCCGTATTATTGCACTAAACTTCCAGCTGTCTTTAACAAGATATTTATTTTACAATAGCTGGGACCAAACTGGGTTGGAAAAGAAAGGTGTGGACAGCCAGTGAAGTTCAGCCAAAGGGGATGTGAACAGGGTTTTAAAAATAGGTTTTGTTTTATGCCCAGCCCTGGCCGCATGCTGAAGGAAAGGAGGGAGGCTACCTGGGCTCAAGGGGCTTCCACCATGCCATCAGTCAAACTGTATTGTAAACAACTTAAATGGTACTAATTTTACTTCTGACATGAAGTTACAAGCCTGTGGTAGACGTGGTCATCATTTTTTTCTTAACTTTCAACCTACCTGGGGTATTGTTTGTATATAGGTACTTAGGGTGTTGCACCATAAAAGGGTGAAATCCTCTGAAAAGATGAGGAGAATGGATGTAGTATCTCTTTGTTCAGGAGATGAAAACATAAAACAGAGCACACCTCAGAGAAAGGACTATTGATTCGACTTACTCTGGTTTTTGATGAGCACTCAGATCATCTAGTGTTTCTTTGCAAATGTTATCTCTTAATACAGCTGCCCTTAACAGTCATAATCCTGGTAGACAGGCTCATACAAGGATCAAATTGAATCCATATTACAGTCAGTTTGAAGGTTTATTTTTGCTTGAACCAGGAGTGAACTGGAACCGTTATTCTGGTGTGTTTATGGAGTCTAGGCTGGGCCTGATTTTATCTTTTTTTTTAAGCTGTTAGGTCCCTAGACAAAACCAAACTGAAAATTCCTATACACAAGCTAAATTAAGACTATGTAAGTGATATTCTACACAAACAGGAAATATTTGTGCTTATATCAAAGGCTGATGTCACTAATGTTTTACCAGAGTGTCAAGGCTGGAAATATTGTCTCAGAAACCTCAGAGCTGTAATTTTTGGTGAGGAATTTAATGCTAAGCAAAGCAAGCAAGGCAAGAAATTTAAATCTCAGCATATTAATAGTCTATTTATTTAAACAAAAGACTCTTCTACCACATGGAAGTTACAAGAGAGATTAAAACAAAATGGATGAAAATCAATCATAAGTAACATTGATCTTTGCAGAGATACACTCCCGATGAAAAAGGATCAAGCCTTTATACCTGTTAACACATATCCTGTAAGGCAAATGAAAATATAAACCATAATATCTTGGCCTCGCATGCTCCCTCTTTCTCTCACATACAAGTTATAGGAAATGACATCAAGCCATTGGGCACAAACCTAATTCCAGAGCATGCAACAGTTTCACACAATGACATGGGAATGTCAGAAGTGGGATCCAGCTCTGTACTTATAAACTACCAGCCCTGGTAGATGGGAGAGCTCCTAGTTAATCTGTCGTCACTGCTACTGTTACCTTCAGACATCATGCTTATAGCCTCATCAGTCTGTTGGCTCTCAGTTGCTGCTATCTTCTTTGAATCATGGATGTTGTTCTGGTAGTTCACCGGTGAGGGATAGGTATTTTCACCCACAGTGGATGAGGACATTGATTCCCAGGGTATTTCTCTTTTTCGCCATTTTAGGTCCACCTTCCATCCTGTCCAGCCATAGAATGCTAACGTGAAGAGGAAGCCTTGCATTGGATTAAGAACCGCCTAGGAAAGGAAGTTCAACAGGAGTTACACCAGCAAGGCTCCATTTTCAACTCCAGCAAAATACGATGACCCGTTGTTCTGATACGCTGAGGCCACCATAGCGACCAATAAGCACCAAATGGATTTCTAGCATTAATTTAGCTGGTCAATCCCCTGGTGTGTTTTTAACTTTCCCCACAAGCTCTGGACATTTTTTATTCACAAAAGCAAATATTACATTTTTCACTAGAAGCCAAATCAAACACATGAAAGTGGACACTGGCATACTCAGTCAAGTTTTTTAAAATAGCAGGAATTGATCCGTCTGGAATTGCTGCAGACTCCTGAACCAGTGAAAATGTCCATCAAAGTGCGACAGAAAAACAGGGAGAGACCCTGAAAAAGAAAATCCCAAGGGATTTCCCCAAAAATTGTCTCTGTTCCCAGTGTACTGGGATGCTTGGCAAGTAAATGGCTTGAGCTGTTACCGTTTTTCTCATGAGAAAAGAGCAAATTATTTTTACAGCCAATTTAAAAAATAGCTCAGTTCAGAGACCTGACCTCTTGCTCTCCAGGTGAGCAAGAGCAAGGACCCTGTCACATTGATGTGTTCTCTCCTTGTCAAAGGAGGAGGTTGTATCAAATCTGTAGCACTTCTTAACCCTTTAGGACAAAACTGCTCAGGGGCTTAACTACACAAAGCATGTTCAGGCTTTGCAGGTATTCAATAGCTTTAGAATAAACTCTTTTGGAAAAGGAACCTGCAATATCGCGTCTCAAAATTCCCTTGTCAAATTTTCCAATAGGAGAAGAGAGGGTAAGGTAGAGTAAGAGGCTAGCACCTTACAGCTATTTTTTGGTTCACTGCTTTCAATATATTTTATGTATTTGTCCCTAAATATCCAAACATCAAGATACAAGATGCAATTATTCTTTATAATAACAAAAACTTTGGTTACAAACAGATAATTACCAGAAAATGACTGTTTTACTGGCGAACCTTCAGGAATCGTGAGCAAAAATTTCACAGCTTGTGTTATGGCAGAGGTCAGCAAGGTTAAACTAGAAATCATTGTAATGTGTCTTAAAATGGGCAGGAATCACTCACAGAGAAAATGCATAGTCTAGTAAATGTGAGAAAAAGTTGGCTTTTGGTACATTTCTGGCAAAGTTTATACGTGAAAAGAGCTCACAGTGACTGCTCCTTCCTCTCTCTTACTCTCTGCCTTTCTTCCTTGATTTTCAGGGTATTTATATCCCCCAGAATCATGAATCATCCACTAGGCGGGTGTTGCTCCACCAGTCTTAAAAAAGCAGTTTCTAAAACTAAGCAATGTCACAGCTGACCTACCATAATAATCCACGTGATCAGTGCAGCACTTCTGATGTTTTTCAGGGGATTTTCATTGATATCTGGCTGCATTTCAAGATAGAACAAAAGGCTCTCGTTGATGATATTGGATGACCAGCTATTGCAAGAGTAAAGAACAAGACGGTTATATATATATTTTTGTATATGTAAAATATGCTTTAACTTCAAATTATAAAAAATAGGGTCACTAATAAGGACAGTGAGATTTTTTTAAATATTAAGACTCAATCTGAAGGGACTAGTTGGTCTCTGAGATCATGATCAAAAACCAGACACTTACCTACTAGCCCAAGCATAGACAAAGAAACCAATATAGCAGCCAAACCCAACCAAAATAATAACTGAACCTGATCATTTGATCTTGATGCAGAACAGTAAACTGTAGGATGAAATTGAGATGATAAACAACTGTGATCAATAATGGGAACATCATGAGTCCTGACTTCTTTTGCTTGTGTCTTAAAAGGGAAGTGTTCAAAGATAAGGAAACCAAATATATGCATGCTTGTTGTAAAAGGCTGCAGGAACTCTAGCTGGAGTTAGAATTTCAGGGCTAGAATACGACAGCTTTTAAAAATGTCTGTAAAAAAACTGTGAAGCAAAACAAAAGTTGACTTTAAAACCCTTGAAAATACCATCATATTTTTGGTAATTTGTAATCTAAGGAAGGATGAGCATAATCAAGCCTCACCCTGTGAAAGAAACTGAGGGTATTCTACACTAAATAAAGGTTATAGCAAATACCTGTAATTTCTTATGACTTCTAAACCAGCATTTTTTTATAGTTCTACTGCATCTTCAGAAAGTAAACCATCAGCACCCATGTTATACTTTCTGAAGGGGTTTATACATGTCCTTTGTGCAATTATGTTTTTATCACAGTGTAAAACCTCCTGTTCTCCCCTCCTAAATCTGCAGGCATGTCTTGTACCCCCTGTTGCCCTAACCTGCTGTCTTTGACTAACTCATTTCATATTTGACTTCTGGGATGGAAGGACATCTTAGCTTCTGGCATGGGACTGCCTCTGTCTTAACCTACAGCAAGCTTTGAGAGAGTTTTTACACTCTAAAGCTTATGTTTTACTGTGAGAACAAAATCCAAAACTAGAACTGTGACTATTTTTTTTCATAGGAAAACCCAGAACGAGACATAATGGAAATAAATGTCCCCACTGTGTCCTTGGGGAACTGATCTTTTCTTTCATGTTTGCTCCAAGACGAGCAAGCTGGCCACCATTCCTTAGGTTGCAACACACTTCTGTGGTGCCTCTAGGCACTTTCTTTCCACAGCCCTGAAAGCCTGGTTAAATCTGTGCTCCTTGTTATTTCAGCAATTTCCAGAAAGCCATGCTGCAGGACCCTTTGTTGCTGTCTCCCTCTCTTTCTGGTTACCCCACACATCGCACTAGAAACCTCTCTTCCAAGCCAAGCAGACTCTGATGTTCCCCAAGAAAAGTCAGTTGTTTCTCTCCAGAGCTCTCCAGTATACAGCAGCCAGGAGAAGTTAAAAAGGCAGTCTTTCTCCCTATTCATCCTTTTGAAGCAGTGTAACATGCATTAATGTCCCTGTGTATAAAGAAAGTTAAGTAGTTGTAGAGACTGTTCAGTTTGGCCAAGTTATTTCACTACTCCAGGACCATATAATTCCTCCCTCTGCTGCTTGTGATACCCACGTAGGCAGTAAACACTTCACAGCAGTGACTGCTTCTTCCTAGATCACTTCACAGATCTTTGTAGAGTAAACCACCACTCCTTCTGGTGCATCTATCGCTGTGAGATTGCAGTAAAACACATTTTCACAGTTTTGCTGTGTGTATCTAGAACCTCCAGTTCCAGTTACTACTCCAGAATCTTTCACACTGGATGGTGCAGTTGAAGCAGAGAAGTGGGGGCTATGGGAATGAAGCAGCACCCTCCCTCTTTCCCCAATTCCCTTGTTCCCTTACCTCCTCTCCTCCCTATCTTTTTCCCGTCCTACCCCAAAGCACTATTTTCATGAATGAAGATAGAATATTTAAAAAAAAAACAAAAACAAACAAACAAACAAAAAAACAAACAATCAAAACTCATTAAATTATCAGAAATTTCACACACAATAAAATGGCGATTTCTGGCATATGACCTTGTGTTTCCAGTCAGTATTCATTCTTTTTTTCACGCACTTGGGATCTGCAGACCACATAGGTGACAGCATTATATAATCAAAGTCAGGGCCATGAAGCCAGTCTTACAAGCTTATTTACTGTAGGTTTTCAGTGATGTGTTTGGTGACCAGAAGCTCTGAGAAATCTTGCGTACAGAAAGCTGTCAATCAGCCCACAATGCTGGGTAGCTGCTGTTCCAGGCAGCTTTAGTCTATGCCCAACCTTTTTTTGGCTATTGTTTCTTGGGGTTATTATCTTCCTGCTGGTTAAACATTTTTATCATTTCCGTGCAGCCTTCTGATGCTACAGGAGCGATTCAGCTACTTTGTGAACTGGATTAGAACTCCTTCTGGAGACACCTTCCCTTTCAGGCACAAAGAAAAACAAATGAAGCAACCCATCAGACTATTCTTATCCCTGATCCACTCTAGCTGGAAAAAAAGGCAGTTTAAAACAATATAATGCACCTCTTACCAAATAACGAATACCAGCATAATTTTGAAGAAGCGGATCTGGATCTCTGTCCCCAGACGTCTTTCATTCTCTGTGTAAATTCCTTGTCTCCCTTTCAGTAAGGAGGCAACTGGAAAGTATACAATCACGTTCATTAATATACATGTATCTTGTTAGTTATAGGCACAAGGATCCAGAAGATAGATGTCTATAAAGAAGAAACAAAGGAATGGATGGATTTGTCTCCAGCAGCAGTTCAGAAGCTGGAAGGACCATCATCAAGGAATCTCAAAAGTACATCCATTATGGATTTCTAAAATGAGTGATATCCCACTAGATCACTAGATGGTTTTTCTTAATCCCACTGAAAACAGAAAATAGTATGGTCAGCACACTTTCGTTTTATAACAGAAGGCAGTGCTTACAACTTCTATATAATGTGATATATTTATTATGTGATGTTTAGAGTAAAATAAAATACATTCTATCCTATTATACACATTACATTTCATTGAGTAATTGATATAGCATTGGCTACACCTCTAAAACTTCAAGGAGTAATGTCAGCAAAATAGACAGTTAAGCTACATGCTGTTCAGATATCACGAGGAATATATATATGCACAAACACAAATATTCTCAGTGTGCATTTTCCCAAAAAGAGCAATTTTTTTATAGAAACAACTTTTTAAAGGAACAACTGCTCCTTTGAAAATTAGTATTACTGAGGAACACAGGATGCATGGGATGAAGACTGAACTGAGAACGCAAGGTCTTCTGTTGCTGTTTTATGTATTCAATGCATAGATAAGTACTAATTCAGGTACTGCAAACATCTAACATGGGTCATATTACATGCAAAGAATGCACTGAATCTGTGGCTCTTTTCAGTCTGATTTCTTCAAAGCACTGGATAATAAATTAAATGGGAACGTCAAGATTCCATCTGAGTTGTGTACAATTCCCATTTGTTTCATCATCTCAGAATCAAAAGTGATAAAATTCTGATCATATTTTATTTATTTATTTTTAGCTCCAGGGCTGCTAAGAAGTAGAAGTTAAGCATCCACTATACACTGCTTCCAATACTTTAAATCAAGAGTAATTTCGTAACATAAAAACACCTTTGACAATCTGCAGTAAAGGTTTTTAAGAGCATAGCTTAAGTATGTCATCAGAGTGTCTCTAGGGCTAATTTTCCATCAAGATGGTATCTTCATTTCAATAGGCAACTCGTTCCCACCCTTTGCTGTATCTTCATGAGTTAATGAGGAGCTGTCCCACATCACTGAATACACACACATGACTCTTTACAGTACTGTTATGTTGCTAAGTAACACATTCTGATTGATGCTGGCCATTAGGAACATACCTGCTGATACTGTCCTCCTGAACAGGATTGGGTTGACCACCAGCACTAGCAGGAGTGGGGCGTAGGTTGTGATGTAGTGTGGGATTGCATGCTCCAAGCCATTTTCACAGCTGAAAAAAATTATTAACAGCTTATGTGTATTTTTTCCCCACAGCTGACAGTTCTGGCTATTCTATGTTACCTTTAACTTAAAAAAATAAAAGGAATGAAGCAAACAGGTGCTAAGCTTTTAAATCACAGACCTTTACCACCAGTTCACATGCAACCCAAAGCTGATTTTTAACATGCAATATCTGTGAATTTTTCTCAAAGGAACAAATGCAAAACTAAAACCAGGACTGGGAGAAGAGTGGCTCTTAGCAGAAGGTGTATCACAGCCCTGTAGCATGCCCAAGTGCCTATATTGCCTGGCATATACCCTAAAACTCAGGCAGGTATTTCTAGAATACTCACTGGTTCAGTGGAACACTTTTCAAAGATCAAAAAAGCCCAACATTTGGACATCTGTCTCTAAAGATGACCAAAAGACAGTCAGATGACCAGTTAGTGCTATGATTTTTCAGTCTGTTCCCAGAGCCCTGCTTACCTGGAGAGAGAAGGGTAGTAAAGCAGTGTAATTCCCTCCACACAGAGCATCACCGCGAGGCCCCATGTCATCATGTGGTACAGCACAATTGTACTGCAGGCAACAAATAGGACAGGCATAATTAAAGATACCAAACCCTACACTTTCCACATGACAACATAAAAATAGTACACTCACTGAAACAGAGCTTTACAGCTGTGAAAGGGTGCAGGACAACATTAGCAGTACATTAAACTGAGAAAAGCAGGTGGGGCTGGGGGTCCCTTCAGCAACAGGATAAGCCAAAGTGGTTGTTCAGGCTTGAACACAGAAGTCCCACATTCTCCAACCCTTATCCCCAAATCTCCATAAGGAACCCCTGCATCCTTTGTTTCTCCTGCAGAGAGCAAAGTAGGGGATTAAAACTGAAGAGTGAAGCTAAAAAGTCAAATAAACCACTCTCCTGTAATCTGTAGAAAATTATGTTTAACTTTCCAAGTTAGATATTGCTCCCATCTTAGGGAGATTCAGATCTATGTGTTAGAAAGTTTTTGTTTACTCTGACCACAGAATTGCATAATGGTTTGGGCTGGAAGGGTCCTTAAAGAGCATCTAGTTCTAAACCCCCTGCCACAGGCAGGGTCACCTTTCAGTAGACCAGGTTGCTCAAAGCCCTGTCCAATCAGGCCTTGAACACAATCAAGCCCAAATAGAGATGAGTTTTTTGGTTAACAGGTGTGGGGGAAGAAGGCGTGTCCCAGCTGTTTCAGACTAGAACTGTGTGACTTCACAAAATCAGGTTTATTCTCCACAGGCTGAAGTTAATTCAAAAATCCCCATTTTGATAACATCTGCCAGAAAAACCATGTCTCCAACACCTGATTGCTCAGTACTATCTGGGAACAGAGTCACGTAATTCCATGTTTAGCAGTAGCAACTGAAGGTCATTTTGCCCTTCTAACAGCCAGCTTAGAAACACCTCATATTTTCTGTCCAGCATGGTACTTTCCAAAGGATTTAGGTTCTTCTGTTACAAGCATTGCAGAAAAATAAATAATAAATATGTAAAATTCCTCTTTAAAACTTTACAAATGTGACCAGAAGTGTAATAATGACGGTATTGAGAAGGAGATAAGATAGAAAATTGGAGGAATGAACTGTATGAAATTCAACACCTCCCTACACACACTTTTATTTTCAGGTTAACACTTTTTTTTTTTTCTTGCAAGAATCAATTTTAAGTACAGAGTAGGGACAGAAATAGCTATCTTGCTGCAATAAAGTTTATAGAGTCCAATCTGCTCCCCGTTTTTCCAAAGGTTGAATGAACTCAGCTACATTTAAATTTGAGTTAGAAGTAAACAAATCAGTATCTGAGCATTGCCTTGGCAATTTCAGCATTTAGCACACCACTCATCCATTTCTCCACCTGGTAACCATATGAACATCAGTTAATTGTACAAGCCTCGCTTACACACTTAGATAACTGCAGACAAACATGGATATACATTGCTGGAAGGAAATCAACAAATTCAGAGCTTTAACGCTGGTACCTCAGTCCTGCTGATCTTCTTACCACCAGATAAGAATCAACAGCATAGCAAAACAACCACCAGAAGCCAGCACTATATAATAGCTGGATCCACATCTGCAGGGGAAAAAAGTGCCAGATGTCATAGCTGCTTCTCAAGGACCACCTGGGACAGGGGAGGGATTCAAACCTTTAGCCTGGTGATTTGTTCTTTAAGAATGCATTTTCCAGCTAAAATTGTAAAGTATGAAATCTTACTCAAAATCACAGGAACAGCATGACTACAGCCAATGGGTCAAGTCACAAGCTAATTGAAAAGCATTTGCTTTCACAGCTTTTTCTGTTGTTTAGAAGACCTGTTATTTACCTCTCCAGTGCTAACCTTCACTGTTGTGAGTGAAGCCCAAAGAAATTTATAGTGAGGAAGTTTTAATTTTAGGTTAAAATTTTAGTAGTTTCTCAGTAACTGAAGCATAAGAAGATCACTGAGGTCAGTCATCACCACAGTGTGCATATGTATTGTGAGTTCTGCATGTGATGGGCATATTCCTCATGTACAAGATACCAATTCAGGGAATGATTATTAAGAAAAAAAAGGTCATTAACAAAAATATCGCTCACCTTCTGGAAAAATTACCTATACTGAACTCCCTGACTGATTTCTTCAATAAAAATCCAAAGGGTACAGGTTCAAGTCAAGTTAAATTCCACAGCGGTCATAAGCTGACCCTAGGCATTTTTCCCATGAGTCTATATAAAGGACCTTGCTTTGCCACTGTTTATCAATGCCAAATTTCTTCCAATAAGAGCTGGCTCTTTGTAATAATCTGGAACTACTTTAATATTCAGGTTACCTTCCCTCCAAGCTCTCTTTCAGTTCTTATCTGGACATCCTTTAGCACAGCTCCATAGTAGGATTATTTTACAGCTCGAAACCAACATACTTGTTACTGAGCCAAACCACAACGAATATAGATCTACCATTCCTTCCTCCAAAGACTAATCAAGCTGGGGAATATTTCCTTTCACCATGGGTGTAGACCCTTCCTCTAGACATTTGCAGCACAAATCAGCCAGTATTTAATTCAAACACCATGATATTTTCCTAGTGCACAGGGGTCAGAAAATAAAATTCCTGGTTTTTTCTAATGCACTTTACCCATAGCACTCAGCATGTAACTTCCCCTGCATGTATTTGCTGCAGTTGAAAAATGCACAATTTACTATACACTTACACACAAAAATAAACTGTGGTGTATTTCCACCCATAAAATCCAACATAGACAAGAATGCCTCCAAAAATAATATAAACCAGATGCACTAACCCCCCCCCAAAATCTTCATACGCTATCTCACTTTTTAGCAAAATGACACATTTTGCTACAGTGCCTGAGATGGTACCCCTCTGCAAACCAGAGGATGTTATTCAAAGGAGATGCCTAAAGGCCTCCCTATTTGGAGTCTGTATTGGCTTATGGTTAAATGAAATAAAACAATAGTACTAAAAGAAAAATAAAATAGAAACAGAAACATTTTACTAACTCAGAAGAGAATATGTATGGGGAAGTGAGTAGAAGGAGGGTTATTCTTCATTCCAATATAATTAAATCTAAATTTAGCAAATGACTCAAATTACAGTACTTTGCTGGAGCCCAAGGAAAGGGAAATAAAAGCTGTGGTAGTCTGCTGTGCTGCTCACCATATACTCTGAGATCAAAATGACAAGTGAATAGTCTGCATGCAGTATCTTTATCACTATTTAAAAATACTACTTTTTGTGTTAAGGGCCAGAAACTGAAATTTAAGACATAGGCAAACATGGGTTTTCAATAGGATATTCTTGTTATAAGGTGTTGATGATACTGGTTTTCTCTTCCTCAAAGGAAAAAAAATCCATTTGTATCTAATAAGAAAACTTAAACATGTATGATGGAGCTGAGAATTGATAGATACAGCTGATAATTAATTCTATGGAACAACACTGTCATGTCTAAATTGTTATTATATAGGCATATAAGGTACAGTCAATTCAATTTGGCACACACTTTTATTTTAAAACTAACGGGGCAAAACAATTTTGTTTACATGCAGCATATCATCTTCTACATTGTAAACTTTGGACTGTAAAGCTAATACTGCTCATGCATGAATTCATTGGGCACCGTAAGTTTCTATTGATTTTATGTTAAGTGATAACCCGTCTTAATTGTCATTCTCCATTTTTGGTATAACATGGCCTTTTTCTTGTACAGTAAACTCAAATTATATGTCTTTGACTGTACTGTGACTGTAATATTTGAAATTGAGTTTCAATCTGCACTTTTGCAGATTTACATTTTCTTATTCCTGTGTTTTAATCCAGAAGATACTTAATTAGACTTGGCCAGATGTGGTCAATGAATGTCCATATTAGCAGCAATCTGAACTGTAATGCTACATGGCAGGGACAGACCTTCTGCCAACAGCTTTGCATCTTTGGGTATATTCATCCTTCAGTCCCTCTGTGTCTAAAACAGATACTCCTGCTGCAAAAGCTAATTTGAGCTACCCAAGTTTCTGGCTTCAGTTGGTCCCTGCTGCCACCATGCAGGCTATAATTTCTACTGGAGAAGGTGGGCAGATGATAGATACCTTCATGCTGTGTAGCTGCTGGGACATCGGTGATGCTGTGCCAGCACAAACCAAACCAGTGGCTTCACAGCCCATTTGGGAATACCCATACCCTATGCCTCCATAGCCCTGACTTTGGTACAGGTGTGTCCTCCACTATCCTAGTATTCCTGTGACAAGTGAGTACTACAAAAAGCTTGGGACCGGTGTGACTGATGCTGCCCTGTGTCCTCACGTGCACTGTGTGGCATCTAGCATCCTGCCTGCCCTGATCCAGGCTTTTGAAAGGAGGCATGACCACACTTGCAGGGGTGTGGCAGAGGCTGAAACTATCATATCCAGGCTCTGACTCACAGCCAAATTTCCTTGCATATGCAGTGGTGTGCCTTTCAGACTTCCCACGTGGAGGAACTGTCAACCTGGAACAGGAAGAAGGGGAGACGATCTCTTTACCTACCGCACTCCCCACGCAGAAAACAGAAGGCCACACGCTGGTCCCGTTCACCACAGAAATGTTAGCTATGAAACCTGGGAAGCCTAGCCATACACTTGATCTGAAGATCATACCTGAAGAAAAAAATGTATTAATGCTTTGAGTCTGCTGGCATGATTTCAGTCACATGCTTCTCCCCTGCCATATATTTCACATCACAGCCCAGATTTTATGTGTCCAAAGGAAGGCTATGGCTGCAGAGGGACAAAGCAGGAACGACTGCACTATTTAAACACTAGTGTAATTGCTCAGGGAAAGTAGACCCAAGAGTCTGAAGCTGATGGGACTTGAAATGTTATGTAGATTAAAATCCCACTTACTTACAGATACTGTCACACACTTCCCTAAAATAAATTGGGTGTCATTTAACTGATTGACATACAGCAGAAGCTAACTACAATTTTACCAGCACAGTCATATACTAATGTTTATTTCTCTGCAAGTCCTCATTGCAGAAAAGAGTTATTGACCACTTTTCACTGTCTTCACTTGTACAATCAGCTTTCTTCCTCTCTGTCACAGGACTGCATAAAGAGGGTATTGGTACTGCATGGGAACAATACACTTTTTTAAAAAAAAAACAAACTTAAGAGTTTGTTAGTGAGATTTTCTGGGTTTGCTTGAAATAGGCATTGAAGCACCAACATATAGCAGAACAAAGCCACCAAGCTTCCCACTAGGAGGGAACGGTTTCTGACCCACCAAAATGAGTTTAATTCAAACACAGTGATGGACAAATAGTTTTAGTTTGCCAGTGAAAGGGAAAGGGAGAAAATAACTTTATCTGTTGCTGTCCTCATCTAACTGAAAGGACCTTTTCCAGGTGAATGCACATTTTTCCCATATTTTCCTTTTTTTATTTCCCCCTTTATGATTTGTTTTAATATTAGTACTTACTATGTACCATGAGAGAACCTGGCTAGGTATAAAAGGGGAAAAGACCTGAAATTCCACTCCCTTCCCAGGCAGCAAGAAAGACTTACAAAACAGCACTACTTCTCTTACCTAATGTAAGGGGGGAAAAAAATGTTAATTGTAGAAACAAACTCATCCTGTCTTTTCGTAGCACGTGTCATGGTAATTTATACCTAATTTGGCAGTAAATGCCATAGACTGACAGGACGGATTTAGACACATTAGTTTCATTTTGACTCATTAATTTTGTTTTATTCTCTGTTGTTTTATTCCTCCAGCCTATCAGCCACGGGGCCGACAGCAGGCTGTCCTTGATAAGGGAGCTCTGCTTGCATTTCAAAAGCCTGTGTCCAGCATGATCTGTGTACAGCTGCAATTCAAACTCATTTGCTGTCAATGTGATGTGCCCAGAGAAGTGGCTGGCATGCGAACAAGACGGCAAACTCTTTCTGAGACAATTTAAAGACATATAGGAAGTGTTCTTCAAATGTCCTATAGATTGGCTAAGTGTTTGATGTCAGCTTTAGTTTTGAATGTGCTGCCTCGCCTCTACTTTTATGCCGTACTCTGAGAACCTGCCATTGTTTTTAATTTTAATATGTTTTAAAGCAGATTTTGGTGTAGATTTGTCAAGAGCTTTTACCTCTAAAATATAACTACCAAACAAGATCTTTCTCCCCCCGAGGCCAATCACCTACTGCTCTCACTTGGCCCAAATCTGCCTGTGAATACATGCAGTATGTTTCCCTCAGAAATCTCTACTGTTCACTCACCATCTTCATTTGGTTGTGGTACCTCAGAGCAACAAGAGCCTGCTACAGAAAGGGTAAGGGACATCAAGCTGGCACTTACCTAAGCTACCAAGGATGTCACAAATGGAGATAAGGAGAAGGATGGTGGAAGAGGAGGAGGCTTTGGGCATCTTCCGTGGGCTCTGTCCCTTCTTCGGCAGAAGCTGCAGGACGGTCAGTAGCAGACTGATGGAGGAGCTGCCAATGCAAACTCCACAGAAGACTTCAGGCTGGAAGTTCATCACTAGCTGTGTAGCTGCATCCTGGTTCGGGCAGCAGTAGGTTTCTAACCTGGGAGAAGCCATGAAGCGTCTGGCTGATGGAGGGTCCCCACGAGCAGAAGAAAATGCTGTTGCTTCCCCAAAGCAGCGTTCACTTTTTCTTCACCCTCCCCATTAGTCCTTGGTGGTGAGAATCACGCGATTGACGGATCATGTGCTGCTGCTGCTGGAAGTAAATCCCCTAGAGCGGCCTTTCTCAGCCTCTCCTAGCAAGGAGATCAGATTCAAACAAGAAAACACAGTGTAATCTGAATCATGCCCCATGCTTGCTCAGAGTCGTTGGCAGCAGTTCACTCACATATTTCTGCTTGCATAGTATGTGATACAGGAACTTAAACTCTTCAGAACATTGAAGGTAGTTTAAAATAAATAAGGATGCAGATACCAAAGGAGAAACATTACATTTTAATTGTGTTTCTCTTTATCCCCATCCCACGCAGCACCCTTTAATTACTGAAAATTAATTGAAAAGGTGAGTCCAGACACAAGCAGTCCCAGCCTTTATAGGAAGGAGCAGGGCTGTACTTCCACACCCTAAACCCAAATCTCAGTTTTAGTGATCCAACCCACCCATCTTCTTAATTAAAATTAGAAACATGATATCCTATCACTGTAGAAAAAGATTACATTTAAGAAGATAATATTAACCTCATCCTATTTAAACCACAAGCACAAAAATTCTTCTCTTTAGTCTGCACTGTTTGCATTGGATCAGCTTGACATGGAAAATACCAGAACGTTTGACTTCTCAAGAATTTTTTTATTTTTAAATTTGGTAAGGGTTTAATATGAAAACAGGACCTGTAATGTTTGATTTTACTTTATAAGCTAAACAGTATCTTGTAAGTCAGGGATCTTATTAGACATAGCAGCAAATACAATCATAAACACAAAAAGGAACTCTTCCAGTCTCAGCTGCATTTCAAACTCCCTGTGTCAGCTGTCACCCCTCCAAAAAGCTTGTTTGCAGTAACATGGTCAGGAAATACAGGAGGGAGCACTGCCAAAGAACTACAGTGAACTGGATGTTAAATAACAGTCATGGATTTTATAATTTTTCCTTGTAAGAATAAACAACCAAACCTTTTATTTCTTTTTTTAGTTTATTTTTTTCATTCCAAATGGCCCAGAATAATTTAGCAGAATTGTAAAGGTCTGGTGAATGATAGTGGGATGTTTTGCATGCAGGTGTTATAAAACAGGGTCTTCAGACAGTATGTTTGCCCATTGTAGAGAAAACATCCACCAGTCCTGAGTAAAATGGCACCTGCTGAGTTTTTCACTATACAAGATACCTTACACTTGATCCCAGAACAAGACCAAACCCATCAAGCTCACCAGCCTGCTGACCACTGGTGGTGGCCATGCAGCCTCCTCATGCAGGACAGTAGTGTTAGGGCTTGGGTGGGCAGGTGGAGCCCAGGCTGCCAGGCACATTGTGCATCCACCCAGCCTGCTCCTGAGGGACTCCCCAGGGCTCTGCCCAGGCTATATCACCTCAAGAGCAGGATGTTAGCTTGCAGATTCAGACTCCTACACGCAGGTGTCCATACATCAGCAAGGTGTCTGCACTCCCATCGTAGTCAATCAAGATCTTCAGCAGGTAAGCTTAGAGTCTAGACTTCAGTCTAGAGAGCTGTTCAGCTCTTCCTAAATTAAATGCACATGGTGAACTGAGTAGGCTCCAGTAACTATAATGGGAACTGAGGCATAGGCATCATCAAAGACTCTGAAGTCCAGGCATCTGAGTTTGAAGCTGAATGTTTTTGCTGGATGTTTTTGCTGCTTTTCAGCATAAAGAGATTTTCTTGCTCCATGGATGAGGACAGGGGAGTGACCCGGATGTTGCAATCCTATGTTTTGTTACTGGCATGTATACAAAACTATGCAGGGGACAGCAAGGTTACACACTAGACTGGCCTGCTCCAGAAATACAAACTCTTGTTGAGGTAAAGAAGAGTACCTACGCTCTGTGGTCAGTAAAGAGCTCCGTTGTCAGTACAAGGTTGGGACTCCTCAGGATTTACTCCACCTCCACTAGAGCAGCAGTGCAGAGAGTTGCCATCTCTTTGACAAGATACTGCATTGCAATCTACCTGGCTACTAAAGAACAATTAAAAGAATTCTATAAAGACAGAATATTATTAAAACAAAGCCATCATACACCACATATGCAATGCAAATACATATAAATTAAACTATGCTTGCTCTCATTTGAAAGCAAACTTATATTGTCCTGTTTACAATTAGAACAGCAAAACTTGGATTATTTCAGAAACTCCTGAAGAGAAGCCTTTAATTTGCACTATCAGGTTTTTAAATTGTCCTCCTCACTATTTCTGCTGCCATTTTCCTTCCTTCAAAAATCAGAAAAGCATGTCAAGTTGTTACCCTGATGGTTTGTTCTGGCTGACAGATGGGAATGTTTTGCATGTTTTGCTTTTTCCGCTTATCATTTGTTTCCATTGATCCTGACTCTGATCTTCTAGTTTTCCCCTCTGGATCTACCACTTTATTATTTTAACTTCTCTCCACCATTTTAAAACTACTGTCATTTCTCAGTTTGCAGTCTTACACTCTGGAAATTTTTCTTTTTCTCTCCACAGTTTCACTGGCTCTTTTGCCACCTATTTTTATTGCTTTACTTCTCTGAGGGGAAGAGTGCTCTTCTGGGTCCCTTTCCTCCTACTCTCTCAGGATTTGATTATGCAGTTACTTACAGATGGAGTAAGTGATTTTTATTGGAAGCAAAGCATATGACCTGTGGCATACCTAATACAAAAAGAAAATAAAGTGAGTCATGAGTGAATGGATACCAGGCATGATACGAGTAGATGTGTCTTTACATGTGGGCATCTGAGGCTGAATGGGAGATGGAGCTGTCTAACTAATGAGCCACCCAATATCTCAGCTGATAAGATCTAGCTAGTCTCTGGCCCTTGCTGCTGAGCTAGAAGTATAAAGAGTCAGAACAGTCAAATTCAAAGCTGGTTTGGCAGTCTTATACCCGAGATTAATTTGGCTTCTCATGATTATGAAAATAAGAGGATAAAAGCTGGGGACAAAGGCAAAGAAAACAGAAGATTAATGAAAGTAAGAGAAGAGTTATTTTGCCTTGCTAAGAAACATTATTCAGTATTCAATAAAACTTACATTGTTCTACAGGTCCTAATTCCCTTGCCTCTGAAATTACTGACACAGTTCCCACTGCTGCCCAGTGGTACAAAACAGACGCAGAAATACGGAATGTCTCATTTCTGCATCAAAGCAGGATCTTGATTAAGCAAGCGGTGTAGCTTGCAGACAACCATTAGCACACATATAAGCAACATTAAAAAAAAAAAAAAAAAGAAGAAACCCTGGCATTGCAAATACCTATCAATCAAGCTCACAGCATAAGTACCACATTGCGCAACACTGAAAATTCCAGTCCTGGTTTTGTACATTGGCAACAGGAAAAATACTGTGCTTCTTGCAATAAGAATAAGCATGTACTCCATACACACAGCTTTTAGAAATACCTGCTCATGCTCTCCTTGGACATTGAACATAATGTTTCAGTCCAGTCCCTGGGCTTGCCTGCTTCTAAGGGAAAGCAACAGGTTTGCAAAAATATGACAGGCATGCATTTCTGCTGTTAAGGAGTGTGCTTGAGCATGCAGTTACAGATACTTTAATCACTGTTCTAATTAAATCTGGGACTACAGCAGTTGTTTAAAAAGAGGAAGGGAATTTATGGATATAGAGACAGAGGAGAATTTATTTCTGTTTGTGTTTACAGTCCAGTCCATCACTCACTGAATTTACAGCTCCAAATGAAGATCTTAGATACCTTACAAATGTAAAAAACTATATTTTGTCAATGATTCATGATCTTATGGTCTTTTTACACATTACCTAACAGATCCCAAATTGACAAAAGTTGAGTCTGTCTTCAAGCTAAATGGATGCAATAAACCAGTTATGATCTCCCCAACACATCCTACAATATGTTTTTAAAGACCTTAACATACAAATCTTCTACATGCTTAGCATGGTTTTTCATTTTATCCACACAGACTTTACACAATTATATTTAGTTTGGAAGAAAAGAGAAGATGTGTCCTCCCATAATTATCAGTACTAATTTTTAAAGCTAATTTTAAACTGGCATTAACACTTCATGCCTAACTGAAATGAATGGGGAAATTCACACCCCATTATTTCGATTTCAATTTTTCTGTAAATTAGGTAGGGATATCGGAACAATAGTGATATTCAAAGGGTAACATCTGCCATAACAGCTACAGACTCCATTAAAAATAACTGGAAGAAAAACAGAGGTATTGCTTCCCTTCCCTCAGAGATTTTAATATAATTACAGAGTTGTAAATTATTCATTTACATTTAAGTGTGCTGAACATTAATTTAAAAGGATGAGAATGAATGTGTCTCCTTTGCATAAAAACAATAATGTTTGAGTTCTTTTGTTTCCTTTAAGAATGAAAACATAAGTATGTACAATGAATAGCTCAGTAATTCTGTATATTTGATGCAATTGTGTTACATGTATTTTACAGATTTTTTATACACCTTCTGTGGGGAAATGTTACCCTACTTGACTTTTGTGAAGAAACGTACATAAATTAGTTATTGAAACTGTGCCTATTACGCATTTAAATTAGGAAATGAGGTTTACATGGATGAAGTACAAAATGACTGAGTAGAAAAATGCATCTGTAAACTAGAGAAAATAGTTTTTGCTTAGGGATTGGAAGAACAAAATCCTGAATTCTCTATGCCAATGCTAAGAATATTACAGTCTTTGAAGCCACATTAAGACAGATTTTGTGGCCACATTTCTGGTCAAATTCCACCATTAATCATTAATTCACAGAACAAAAAGATATCTTCCTTTCAGCATACATGTAATACAGAGACCTTGTCCCACACCTACACAGACTACATGAGACACAGTTTGCATAGGAACTAAAAATTGGATCTTAATGTTTGTAAGCATGTAGAGGGTACCCTACAAGATGTTGAATGTCTATCCTGTCTGCAGTATTTTCCAAAGTATCATAGGCCTAGCTACTTCTGCACTCTTTTATAGGTTACATTAGTTGGTTCCCTCAGGAGAAATTAGGTGGGATACTGTTACATCCCTGTTATGATTGTTAGACTGTGGGATCATAGAATTATAGAATCATTAGGGTTGGAAAGGACCTTAAGATCATCTTGCTAGATTATATCTCCTACCACCCAGAAATACATTTTCAAAGCCCATTAGCAGTAGAAAATCATCTCATAAAACCTCTATTCCCAAGCCAGTCTGTGTAACCAAATCGAAATATATTACAGCACTAATTTCACATCTCTTACAATGCAAGAACTCTCCAAGGCTCTTAATTAAATTGCTAAAAATGTCAGTGTATCATGGCCAGTTAGATGGTCTTTTTGAACATGGCAACCAAGTACTGAAGGGAATTCTGACAAAGTGTGTAGTCCCAGTCCAGCCCACAGAGACCAGCCATTGCACCCCTTTGAAGTCCCATGAGCATCACTTTCCATGAGTTTCTTTACATTCCAGTAGCCACATGGCCAGCAGTCAACCCTACAGCACCACCGGACTGTGTGAAGGAAATCTGCAACTGTCTGCTCCATAAATTGCTGTCTGGTAGCTTATGAAATGAGCAGAAAGCTTAAAAGCATGGCTTAGCTGGCTTAGGTAATCAAGAGGAAAGGCAGTAATAGCAGCAGAAATGTTATAGTGCACAAAGCACTTAAGATCCACTCTTTTTGACTTTTCTGTTCTTCAGGACTGAAGATCATGAATTGCTGAAGGTGGACTTCAGAGTCCAGGGTGGACAAAGTAATGAGACTAACCCCTAAATATCCAAAGTAGCTTACATTCAAGTGAGCAATACAACTGCATTATACATTTACATTATAGCTTGGCTAATTCAGCCACTCCCATTAGCCACCTTCCTGGGAACACGACTTCAAGATATTGGTTGGTCCTAAAACAGCTTCAGAAAATGCAGTGTTCCAAAAGAAATCTGTGTACCCTAATACACCATAATTCAGACTTTGAAAAGAAATTAAGGTGGATAAAGAACTGGCTTGGTGGATAAAGAACTGGCTGGATGACCGCACACAAAGAGTTGTGGTCAATGGCTCAATGCCCAGCTGGAGACCAGTAACGAGTGGTGTCCCTCAGGGATCGGTGTTGGGACCAGTCTTGTTCAACATCTTCATCACTGACATGGACAGTGGGATTGAGTGCGCCCTCAGCAAGTTTGCCAATGACACCAAGCTGTGTGGTTCAGTTGACACGCTGGAGGGAAGGAATGCCATCCAGAGGGACCTTGACACACTTGTGAGATGGGCTGATGCCAACCTCATGAAGTTTAACCATGCCAAGTACAAGGTCCTACACCTGGGTTGGATCAATCCCAGGCACAGCTACAGGTTGGGCAAAGAAGAGATTCAGAGCAGCCCTGAGGAGGACTTGGGGGTGGTGGTCGATGAGAAAATGAACATGAGCCAGCTTCAGTGTCTGCTGGCAGCCCAGAAAACCAACCGTATCCTGGGCTGCATCAAAAGAAGCATGACCAGCAGGTCGAAGGAGGTGATCCTGCCCCTCTACTCTGCTCTTGTGAGACCTCACCTGGAGTATTGTGTGCAGTTCTGGTGTCCTCAACATAAAAAGGACATGGAACTGCTGGAACAAATCCAGAGAAGGGCCACGAGGATGATCAGGGGACTGGAGCACCTCCTGTATGAAGACAGGCTGAGGAAGCTGGGGCTGTTCAGCCTGGAGAAGAGAAGGCTGCGTGGAGACCTCATAGCAGCCTTCCAGTATCTGAAGGGGGCCTATAGGGATGCTGGAGAGGGAGTCTTCATTAGGGACTGTAGTGATAGGACAAGGGGTAACGGGTTAAAACTTAAACAGGGGAAGTTTAGATTGGATATAAGGAGGAAATGCTTTCCTGTGAGGGTGGTGAGGCACTGGAACAGGTTGCCCAGGGAGGTTGTGAATGCTCCATCCCTGGCAGTGTTCAAGACCAGTTTGGACGAAGCCTTGGGTGATATGGTTTAGTGTGAGATGTCCCTGCTCATGGCAGGGGGGCTGGAACTTGATGATCTTAAGGTTCTTTCCAACCCTAACTATTCTATGATTCTATGAAATTAAACTAGGTTTGTAATAGGACCTATATTATCACAGAAGATGAGCAATACTTCCTCCTTTCCTTGCCCCAGGCATCTGTTTCCTCAGGATGTTACTCACTATGCCCCACTTACATGAGTATGCTTTACACAAAATTCAGGCTAACAAAGCTGTACCTCTGACAATATTATCCTTTTAAAGTCCAACAGAAGCCAGGAAAAAGTTAATCTGGCACTTTTTCTCATTGTAAGACAGTTGGATTCCCTCAAACATCCCATAAACTGCTAACTGTTCTGCCTTGAGAGGAGACCGCACCTATACCTTTAGTATAAAGGGGCACAGCAGTCTACAGAATTTCTGCCTTCTGGACTTCTGGCCATGCTCAAACCAGCCACATATCAGCCCTAAAATCACCAAATTCATGTAGTATCACAGATCTGGCACTGCTGGACCATAGCCTCTTGTGTATACCTGGTACTTCAGGGCAAACTGCCTTAGCACTGCAAAAAAAACCCAGCCAACATTTACTTCATGCTGTACACATGCATAGATGGACTCTCACAATATGCCACATCCTATGACCTCCACCTGGATGCAGTTCATGTGCTGTGTAACCAAGCTGAGAGTAGAAAGGTCACTTGTAATAAATGAATTGTGTTTCTTTATAGAATGCACTGAGAGATTTATTTAGACATTGCTGACTGATAGACAGAAAAAGGAAGGTTTGCTTGGGGTTAGCTAGAAAATGAAAACAAAGTCCAAGTGAAAAATACCAGATTACAGGGCTTTTGTCTGCTTTCATGCATACTCTGGCCTCTTGCTGTCTATCTACCTTTTCAAAAGTCTTCAGAGCATTCTCTGCAAAAAGAGCATTTGAAACCCTCCCTTTGGCATTTTTCCTGGCCACCCCTACTCCAGTAATCATCTTCATCAAGTACAGAATTTAGACGTAACATGCAGTGATATCGGAGTTTAAATGCATTAAAGACTTCTTGTAAGCCTCCAAGGCTATGTCACTCATGTAATTAAAATGGGCCAGTACCTGGTTTTTGACACATAAGGGCAAGTGGCATAGCACAGTTTGTATAGTGAATGTTACCACATGGCATGTGTTATCTAAGAAGATGGACAATGAGAAACACTCTGTAATGTACCATGACCAGAAATTCAGTAGGGAGAATAAATATTACAAGTGATGCATCACTGAAATAACAGAAATTCATGAAGCAAAAAAATTTCCAGGTTAATGAAGTTGTCACAGATACATACGACCAAATACAGCTATATAGTGTGCGTATATATATATATGTATGCATACACAGCAGAATTCTTTTTTTCCAAATAAAAAAGGGTAGTTTCACACATACTATCTCATACTAACAGTCACTGTCCCATGTTATTTCCCAAACTGTGTCCAAGCATTGTTTAGTTAGCCTGCTAACAATGAAACAGTACGGGACGTTATGTACCAGTGCTTCAGCCTGTGTGCTCTCACTCTGCTTTTTCGTTTATTTGAAAAGTGATAGTCTGAGATGCTGTAATATGATTTGACAAAGGGCCCTAATGGAGGAACCGGAAAAGGAACAGGTATACAGATACCAGAGGGACTACGGTCCAAGGCATGGCTTTAGTTGTGCCTGATTTTGACTACAGGCTGAAAACCCCATCCCTAGGGAAGGCTGGTTACCTATTCACCTCCTCAGTGTTGCATTCTGACTCTATAACCGCATGAGGAGTTGCTATTACCCTTTCCTTTGACTTTCGATCTTGTTATCATGCAAAATCATGAAATTTATAAATCCTGAAGTAGGCTATGGATTACAGGAATCTGTGCTGGACTCATCTTCTCTGGCTACAGGTCTAACAGGTCTCAAAGAATATTATTGTTAGCAAATCTTCATCTTTTTTTTTCCTGGTCACTCGTAGCTTCTGCTTGTTCTGCAGTGCATGCTCTCACCCTCAAAAAATTGCTCTGAGGTATAAAGCATATATGTAATACAATATATAAAAAAATCTATATATTTATATATTTATATTTATTATAATAATATATAAAATATGATAATATGTATTTACTTAATTAAATATATTTTATATAAATCTATAAAGCAATATGTAATGTTATAAGGATTATAAGAACTGAACAAATTTTGAATAAAAAATTCCATGGGGTTAGAAACACCACAGTATAATATGAAATGCTATTCTTTCACAAATATCAGCTTTAGAAAAATCCTAGATAGTGAATACACAAGGTTGGGATTGAGGGGGTTTTGGGTTTTGGTCCTAAAGAACTGAAGAATTCAACATACGTTTATCTGAAAGGTCAAGAACTTCTGAAGGTTTTTCAGCCCTAATTATTTGTTGATGAAGCCCTATTTGCAATGCAGGAGAAACACGACACACTTGGGAAAGGTTTTACAAGTGCTTGAATCATACAGGAGACATCCTGCTGAAGTTTTTCAACATTGTATTTTTCATTCTGGGAAAATGGATAATTTGTTGAAATCAAAGTGTTTTGTGGAAGAGCATGATTATGCTGAATCCATCAGTAAAAACATGGCAGATTTCCAAAGGAAACCCTCCTAATTCCCAGCTATGCCAGGATGTCTGTCTCCCGGTCTGCTGCTACCCAACCTGTTTCTCCAGGTTCTCAGGACTTTCAGACTCCACAATAAACTGTCAGCAGCTTGCCAAACCTTGAGTTACTTGATCAAAAAATCCATCCACTAAGGAACTTCTTATCACTGTTTCAATTGTTTTGGTCTTTGTGATGGTTATTTTCAAAGACACTAGAGTTTCAAAGAGGGAGGAGCAGGAAGGCATTGTACAGGTGGGAAGCCATGATCTAATAATAGCTACTGCTGAAATGTGGTGGGCTGAATTGCATGACTGGAGGGCTGCATTTGATGGCTAATACTATTTAGAAGGGATAGGCAATGAAGGAGGGGCTTGCCCTTTCTGTAAAAAATACGTAAATAATAGATT